GAGCACAATTGCATAATTGTCTAGGACATGTTGAAAACTCATGCAAATCATGACTTGGGAGATGCATACATTGGAAAAACTTTGCACAAAGGCGTTCAGTCTATTAAAGCACCCTGTGTATGTTGATTTCAAAAATGGGAAATTAGTATGATCGGTTAGAAGTAAAAACATGGAACTCATATGACTTTGTGCTACTTGGAACGGACTTGTGATTCCATTAATTAGTATACTTCAATATTTTTCCCAAGTAAAGTAGTTGAGAATATCTATGAAATTCGAAGTGAATAGTAACTCGTAACATCACCTTTGTATACAGAGTGTTTCATAATATATGTGCAGGACTTCAGGATATGAAAGCTCGTCCAAAAAATATGATGAAAGATTTTATCAACTTACCCTCTAAAATGCACCAACTTATCTCACAGAGAACAGCTTTTGGACGCATTCTCTACTCATAATAAACTATAATTTGTGCGGAATTCATTTATTTGTAGGTCATAATTGCTGATGATTTTGAATGGGTAGTAAATGTTTTTTTCCCCAACTTCTACGCCACTGCAAAAAAGCAGTCTTGAGCCGCTCATTTGAACGGCCAATGTTTTTTACCCAAGAAAAATAATCCTGGTCAAAAGCTCAAAATTTGACCGTTTTTAAAAATAATCTACTTCTAGGTTGAAAACCATGATACATCAAAAACATTTGTCCAATTAAACCAAATGCATTTAAACCAAACGTCAACTTCATATGGCGAAATGAAAAAAACGAAAACAATAACAAATCATACTATTTATAATTGTTGGAAAGGTCCGCGATGAGCTTCAATGCTCGCAGCATTCCTTGTCTCCGCATTGTGCTGTTGTACAATGCACAAAGAATGCAGCGGGAGACGGAGGAATATGATTTTCCAGGTGAATAGCAATCTCACATAGTTTTCATCATGAAATGTTGTCATTCCTTATTAAAATTTCTTCTGCCACTTCTGCAATACAAGCTAATACTGCTAATAGATTGAAAATGTCTACAACACACACGATCATATTTCGTCAGCATGTCAGATTTCATAAATCCAATCTTCTTGCATTATTTTGAAAATTTCACGAGTGCATTTATAAGATCCTATTGCAAAAGGATTTTTGATGAGAAAACAGAAATTACAAAATTTCAAAAAAGAAAACTATATGTGATTGACTATAGTGGGTACTTACTTTCAAATCATAATGTACTAACCGGATTCCTTCGTCTGTTGCTGCAGTTTTTGTGCATTGTACATTAGCATAATGTGATGACATGAGCAAAAATACGATTCGTATGCCAAAATAATTGTGAAAAGCTATTTCAATCACTTATGAAGAAATAAGAGAAATGAGGTTGTGTTTCAATGTTGTGCCTCCAGGGTCGTTCATCTGACAGTTCCAGCACGCAACTCATTACAGAAAAACTGTCAAATACATACAGGGACTCTACTAACAACCAAGAGACTCACAGGAATCTAACACTCTTGTCTATTTATGTAACAAACGGATCAATCAATTTTGATGTTGAATGGGGAGTCGCTTGATACGTACTGTGAGTTCTATTTGGCATCATAATGACCAAAAGGGTGCGGAACAGCAGTCATTGTGATTTCAGTGGGACTCTCATTTCGAGTTACGGATGTGATGTGTGGCATGAGTGTGATGCCCTCCTTTATCTCTGGAATTAATCTGTGTTAAGACTGGGATGTACCGTCGAATGAGGTGGCTTCGGACGATTTTTACAGTTTTTTCGCTGTACACACAGAAAAAAAATTTCTTCGAATGAGAAAACCCATTCTCTTGAAAATTCAATTGTATATCTTCTTTGAATTGAGCATATTCTTTTGAGTCGAGAAATCTGGTATGTTCAAGAAAATAGTGTCATATTATTGAAATATATTCTCAAACCAAGAATATAATTATTGAATTACTAAATTAATTACTTCAAATCAATCAAAACGATTTTTCAATTCGCAGAAGCGTACTATTTTGTTTCAATAAATTTATTGCTTGATCCAAGAATATAAGTATACATTTCTTCAAATCAAAGAATGTCCATTTCATCGAATGACATATTCAGTTTTCTTGAATTGCAAAAACCTAATATGTTGAGGCAATACGCCATTTTCTTGAAATAAAAATATAAATAATTATTTTTTCAAATGAAGCATTCTAATTTCATCATATTGGTATTATAATTTCATCAAATCGAAGACTCCTGATAGTTTTATTCTATGCCATATTTACTTGATTCAAAGATATGAATATCAATTTTCTCAAATGAAAGGAATATAATATCTTCAACTTGATGAACTTGCTGATATTAATAATTTCTCTAATTGAAGAAGCCACATTTTGATTCAATACTTTATTTACTTGATTCAAGTCTATGAATAGGTATTTCTTTGGAAGAAAATAATATGCCCTCGGAAATCAAGGGTAAGCAATCCTGTTACCAAAACTCAGGCCTCAGTCTTCAATCATTATTGACCATGCTCACATCATTATGACAGGCCCACACCGGCGAAACGGCATTAAACTGCGAAGTTTGAAAATTCTGAATGTTTTATCGAGTGTGTATAGGTGGAAATGTCTTAGAATATAAATATCTAACAAATGCAGAATTTGTAGAGAGCTGGTGAAGGTATAACATTGAATTCCCTTGGTAAGTAGGTACCTTTCCAAATATCGATAGTCACTGTGAGTGAATCAACAATTTTTTAATCAAAATAACAGGGATTTAGTAGTATCCTGCTATGTAAATATGCTTATTAATTCATTCGAAATTTTTTTTGTAGCAAAATGACGACTGGTTGATGAATGAAAAAGTATTATCTACAAATGACTTGCCAAGACTTGAGAAGACCTTGACATTAGGTGAGAGAAAGTTTCCTGCCGAGTATCTCGAATCTATATACCCGATATCTTCCAGAAGGCATGATATCACTGGAGTCACGATATTACATATTATAGAGGTGAGTTTTTATTCAATCATAATACTTATGTCATTGTTTGTAACCGTTATCATTTCCAGCGAAACTTCAAGAAGACGAAATCAAGGCATGTGATTATTCTATAACCATTTGGGGTCTTGATGGACAACACTGATCCAAGATGTACATACTTATACATGGGATTATTGTCAACTAAAGGAACAAATATATATTTCTTCACGAATATTCTGTGGGAATCATTCACAGTTTTGAATCAAAAACATTATTATATTTTTATCCAAGCAGTCAATATTTTGATACAAGAAAATAGTTCCATTGGAGAGAATGAGCTCAATATTCATTATAAAAAACTTATGAATTCGGATCGAAAATATCAATGTGTTCATTGAAAATTTACGAAATTTTGACTTAAATAAATCGTTCATTTTGAAATGAAATAGAACAATTCTCAATAATAGTAATCCATAGTTGCAAATTGAGAAAATGATTGTTTTCATTTGGTGGATGGATTCCATATCTCAAAATTATGGTTTTCCTGAAATAAGTAAATGATTTTGTCAATATGAATTATTTCAATTCTCACTTCAACATCACAAACGTCTCCAACCATGCATATCTTGATTTCCCTACAAGAGGGTAGTTAAATAAATCATTGTTTCGGAACAAGAATATCATCTCTTTCGTTATATACAAACAAATTATTTTCTTGGACCAATGCAGTCATGCTCAATACAAGAGATTCTTTTTTTGTGTGTAACTTTTTGAAAAATCAATGTTTTGACACGAAATTTTCACGAAATGTAGCACTCATATAAATGAATCGATTCGTGGTATAGAACTTTTGTTTTCATCTTTAGGAATATTTTTTTTTTTATTTTGAAAAGTGTCCGAAGTTACCTGGATAGGTGTGGTGAATTCGGACACCCCTTCAAAAGCGCATGAAAACGACATCCAGCTTCATCAGACTCAACTTCGGACATGAATTCGAATTTAAAAAAAAAAATGGAACATCAAAAATTCAATTTTTTGTCCGAATTTATTTTATCTTAGGAAATTGACTTCGGACGCGCATTGTTGACGATAGGAAATTTATTTCTCGTCTCAACAAAAATAATTCGGACACAACATGAGAAAAATATTTTTTATTTGAAAAAGATTCTTTAAGAATAAAATAAATAGTAACATTCTTACAAAAATAAAATAGCATTCTGCCTAAAAAATAATCAACAAAGTAGGAACTTACTTCATGTATCACAAAAAAACGAATAAAGCTATCCTATGACAATATCATTCAAATCACAAAATTTGTATATTCCTCTTCTAAACTCAAGAAGCTAACTTGGAAGTGATTATCTCCCAATTGTGATAAAATTTGGGCCACATAAAGTTTATATTTCTTAGAATTGAATATAGGCACTTTGATTATTGCGAAATCATTTTTCTTCAAATTTTCTAAACCAGTCTTAGTGGAAATAGTTTCTACTCTCTCGTTAGTGTCCTCTTCTGACGATTCATTGGTACGATTGGTACGAACGTCCGCCAAGGATTTTTCTATAGGTCCGGCCCATGTCCGAAGTCTTCCGCAATAATGCTGATGTTCTGGTTATCGCCCTGTATAAAAAAATTCTATGAAATTTTCAAACAGATACATCATCAAAGCATTCTTTGAACATCACCCTTTGATTGAACATATGCCACTGAGCTCTACATTCAACACAAAAAGTGCTACAGCAGTTACTTTTTCACTTTTGAGAATTCGCAATAAAAATACGCTCATATAAATACCGACGTGAACAATTCTTCCTTACCTCTCTACGCAAACTACACTCTCGACCACTGGACTATACTAACAAGATTCAACCTGCAGAAGATTCACGTCTATCGCGATACCTGCTTCCGCGACATTCACGATTGAGAGCGAAAAGTACCGACTGTCCGAAATCACCGGTACCGTCCGAAGCCACCTCATTCGACGGTACCACCCGATTCCTGATTTCTCAAAAATGCCAACTTTTTTCCAGGGGCTGTATAGCCTGGAATGGCTGCACCTGGAGGCCAACAAGATGACCTCTTTTGCTGCGGCCCTGCATCTGCCAGGCAGCCTGAAGGGCGTGCAGCTGCAGGAGAACCCTTGGCAGTGCGATTGCCGCTTGAGAGACCTGCAGGAATTCCTGTTGAAGTTCGGGTATCCGTTTTCCATCGAACCGGTGTGCAGTGGCCCAAGAGAGTTGTCAGGTGAGGTAATCTCTCAATGTTATGTCGAAAAACATTTATAAAGGGTATCTTATGAACGAAGATGCCGACATTCTTCATTTTGAATAAATATGTTTCGTGAAATCCACCAAAAAACTCACTAGGATCACCCTATGATGAGAATTTAGGTGGGTATTTGTATTGGAATTTTTCGAAGAAACTCCTCCCAGAAAAGTTACACCCTGAAAGATAAAGACACGTATTTTTTATTGCTCGTGTATATTGAGCGGAAAGGAATATTATTTTTCAATGAAACTACACAATTTGCAATGTTTTCAACCCTGGAGAAGGCATTAAAATAGTCAACCTACAAGATAACATTTCTTCAACTCATTTTGGTAAACATTCTGTTCTTTAAAAATGAAACATATGTCTGAGAAGCTCAACTCATTTACTTTCTTATATCTTCAATCATTTACGAGAAAAGAATAAATGTATTGCAAGCTCATGTGAAAAAAAACATTTTATTGAACAACAGCCCATCAAATTACGATTCTACTATGCTATGACTTTTACAACTAGTAGTTGTAGTACTAGTAGTAGGTGTGAGGCTGTAGCCAAGCAAGAGGCCCGGATGGGCTCTTTTTGCTAACCCCTGCTCTCCGTATATATATCTACGCTTTCTTCACCTAGATTTCCTTCACGAATTTTCCTGGCCTTCTAATGAAAGCCAGTATATCCGTCCACATCAATATGATCAACTCCTCCTGTTGGAGTTGTCGACTCCAAAGATTTCATATCTCAGCCTCCCGTACGCCTCGCACTCGCCGAGAAAGCGGAGTGACGTTTCTTCGTCCTCCCCACATCTGCGACAAGTGGGGTTGTCCTCTATTCTTATAAGTGTTAGGTGTCTGCCTAGCATGTTGTGTTCTTTGAGTACTCCTATGAGGAGGCGGAGTACTTGGCGGTCTCTGCCAAGCAGCCAGTCCCTCCTCGATTTGCTCGGACCGGCCACGAACTCCTTGGCCTGTCTGCAACTTGTGATATTCCTCCAGTATTCGCGAACGCTGAACGCCACCAGGCAAGGAAAGGAACACTCCAAATGAGATTTTGGTTCTGTAGTGTTTCTTTCCTTGCCAGGTGGCGTTCGACGTTCGCGTTCATTTCGCGGACATTGAACGGCTCGTGCGGTATAAATGCTGAGAAGCGTTCACGTTGGTTCAGGTTCTCACCAGATAGCGGTCAAGAAGCTATCTGGGAGAGCCTTGCACTAGTGAGAACCAACAGTTCGAAGCCGATCTACAGGTAGCCACGCATTCCTGAACCGCTCAACCTAGGAAGGAACCACTTGCAATTTTATTCGTCTTCTTTACGAATTATTGCTCAGATTTCAGGAGGATGTGATCTAATGTTCTGCGTGGAATATAGCCAGGAAAGTAATTGTTTGCTCTCGTTATCAACCATATTCGTTCATTATATGAACTATTGTGGTAATGACTTTGTTTCTCTTTTTTTGTGACCATCGAATTCTACTTTGAGTATTCGGCTTTTCCCAAGTCATTATTCTTCTCTTGAATATAGTCATTGTATGTCGAATTTTGCCTTATGGTTCTCAATTGGCTTCAAATAGCTGTTGTCAGATCCAGTGAAATCTATTGATTTATTCAAGTGGGATTAGTTCCATAATATCCTGTTTGTGTTGAGTTGATGTACGAAAGTTCGATGATTCTGAATAATTATAAAAATACCAATCGTTCAGCACGCAGATATACTCGATACATCTCCGGTTGTTTTTTTGCCAGTCTGAATGAAATCATCGGATTCTATTCCAGGATCGTAGAGCAAGGAAATCCAACCAGAAGGAAACGGTAAACATATCAGTTTGTAGACGATTCATCTTCTATTGAATGCCTTTTTTCAGCTAACGATAAGACATTAGTATATATGTATATGCAGCTGTTCACAAATAATGTTTAGACTATCGCAAAAACTAGGGGGAATCCGAAGATACATTCATGCGGATCTAATAATGATTTACTATCAATCCTTCTGTTCTTATTTATGTAGCTCTTGGCATGCGATCCGTATTTCATCCGGGCAATACCCGTTGATTATAGAGAGGAATCGCCCCAATGAATTTGTAATGGATTACTTTTTACATGGGGAAAATACCTTCACGATAAGAAAGTTACTACAAATAAAATATTTCTAAAATTGTTCTTATTCATCATTCGGTTGCCTCCTTACGATAAACCCTCAAGAGTTTTCAAGAGACTTGTGCGAGCAAGGAATGACGGGGGTTTCACCTTTCAATGTGTGATCCAAAACACTTTCTTAGGCCATCAGAAAAATATCTGCAGTCGTGGGAATCGAACCCACCAACCAGCAATCCATCGTGAATAGAATGCTGATCGACGCTTTAACCCCGCGGCTAATCTGGCTCTGGTTAGTACGACAAATTAAAGAATTTTTTCGAGATACAAGTTACGATACTATGAACTTAAGGCATTGCTCCAGAGTCTAGAGAAGCGGACAATTCGAGTGATGAACGAAATGTCTGATTGTACCCTATTTCTAGCAAGAGCCTGAAATTTAAAGATCCTATGCCATTTCAACAAGTTGAAGATCATTATTTTTGATAAAAGTAGTACTCAATTCTATTCGTCATGATGGTTGGTGTAAATAGGAGAATCTTCATTACCATTAATGTTCTCATCGTGCTCTTGTATTTCAGGGCAAAAGATAAAAGCCGTTCCGACGGACCATTTAGCCTGCGTTCCAGTAGTCACGCCCACAATACTCTACCTCGAGATCGACCAAGGCCACAACATATCACTCGCCTGCCAAGTGGACGCCATCCCAGAAGCCGCAATAAACTGGTACTTCGACGGACAACTCCTGCAAAACGACACTTACCTCGCTCCAGGACTCCGTTTATTATACTACGTGGAACGCGGCACGTCGAACAAAACCAGTGAACTTTACATATTCAATGCAAATTCTGGCGATAGTGGAACATTCGTATGCAGCGCTGAAAATCCTGCAGGCGTAAGCCGCGCTAACTACACCGTAAAGTTGCTAATGAGGCAGGAAGAACCCCGCGAGAGGAACGAGCCCCCATTCGAGTTCATCCTAGTCTTAACCTTCGCCACCTCTTTATCGGTGCTACTCATCATAGTAGTCGCGACATTCGCAGCTCTGAAGTGCCGCAGGAGGTCAAGAATGCGCAGGAAACGGCACGAATCTAAGGTAGCGCTGGAATCGTCCAGCGGTGATAACCTCTTCAAGGAAAGCTTCGATGACTCAATGGAACCTGCAGACCACGCCAAGGAATACAGTTTAGAGACCAGTCAGGGACCGTCTGTAGTGGCTTTTAACCATGATCAGATCTCGATGAAGTTGTACCAGGAACGGAATCCGGATCTGATCAATGGTACTGACGTTATGGAGAAGAGTGAGTGCGCGGTGATAAGGAGACACCATTCCATAAGAAATGTGCGGTTCGGTGGTGAAACTGAAGTGAGTGATTGTGGGGCGCTGTTTGTGATGCCAGGGGAGTTGAGGCTGCATCCTGGAGCTGGCTGTTATAAGACGTTGCCTAATAAGAAGAGAACTGCAGCAGCTCCGTTAGGTGAGTGTGTTTTTTTTGTTCATGCCTTCGACAGGTGAGGCTCTGAGAGCTATTCCTCCCAATATGTGTACAACAAAAAGACATATATTGATGTTTCCCTGGAGTTGGTTCTGATAGATAAGAAACCGTATGTCTTCGTTTTTTGTGAAAGAGAGGGTTCTCCTGAGCGTCTTCATCTATCTCGAGCCAGTTGTTTCTGTTTTTATAGAAATGCATACTGAGTTTGCATAACAATGCCTCCCTACATATGAATAACTGTCACTTCATGCAAGAGACCTAAAACTGCAAGAAAATATGAAAGTGTGTTTCTCAAGATCGATTCTTAAACTTCTACTGGGCAAGGATAAACATTCTCATAGACTCGAACTATTCAGTGCAAATTTATTATTATTTCCACACTATACATTGCCGGAATCATATCCAACTTGTTCCTTGCCTAGACTTGTAGCCTTTCTTCTCTAGGTAGTGATTCAAACGAGACCAACGAGACGAGACTTTCATAAAGTCTCGTTTCGTCTTGCCGATGAAATATGAAGTCTTGTCTCGAGTCTCGTCTCGCAGCCTGGAGTCTCGTCTTGTCTCGCGTCTCGTACGAGAGTCTCGCAAATGTATTGCAATTTCGTTCCAGTCGTGTACGGGATATTTACCTTCACCTATATATATAATGTGGAAGTAGGAAGAGAAAGTGACTTACAACAAAAATAACACTATTTATTGAAAAGCAAGTACCTGATAGGTACATACTTACATCATGCATCTAAACAAGGAAAATGAACATATTATATATATTCGAAAATTATTAAAATGAAAAAAAAAGTAACATCTATATTCTAAACAAATAAACAAAACAAAAACTTGAATCCAACATTATTTTTCTTATTCAAGAAATAGGTATCTAAGAAAAAAATCTTTATCATTTAGCACAAATTGACTCATTTATAGATTTTCAGATAGTCATTCAATATGCGATCTGTCGTTATTGCAGAATTGCCTTTATATTCCGCCGCCGTTAGAGGGAGAATACTTAGTCCGTTTTCGTTTCACGCATTACTTCGTTTCGCAACGATCATGGACTGTTTTTTTAAACTATTTATGAATGAAATGTTCTGTATATCTGTGCTAAATAGTCTGAATTATTTCTAAATATGTTGTTTTGTGAATGGAAGTCTCAAGTCTGCAGTCGGCACGCAGAAATATTTACCTGCAAGACTCTCGCAAGAGACACGAGAAGTCTTGCACGAGACTCGAGACGAGACCAATAAAAGTCTCGACTCGTCTTGTCCGAGTCTCGTCTCGAATTTTGTTTCGAGAACGAGACGAGACCATGCGAGACTCTCGAAAACGAGACTCTCGCGGGCACTACTATCTCTAGGAAATAATTGGAGAATAGTAACTATATAACGTGATATACTTTATGCAAAGTCAGTTGGAAAAACATATCACCGCAAGTAGTCGGTCCCTTTGAGACATTGACTTCATTGGGTTATTATTTCACGAAATTTCAACTCCCATGGAATGTCGAATTTCAAGCAATGAAAGCTCTGTCTAATAGATGAGTATTACTTAAGGGAAAATCATCATGACTACGAGCCAAAGATATAAAAAATTTAGCTATTTTCTGTTACAGACATATAAAGAGTTTACTGTTTACCTCGCTAATTGCTAATTTTCCACTAGTTCGATTTGTAGCAAGAGCTGTTCGTGGGAAATAACCTGTGTTGAACAGAATAGTATTCTGGGCTGAGCTCTCTCAGTTTCAAGATGCTACAGCATCAAGGACAATAAGTGAATGGAGAATCAAATTATTAATAGTTATTCGAAGCTGTCACATGAGTGAAATTCCAAATGGGAATCGAATTCAGGACATATCATGTCAATTATCTCTTGTCTCTCGACGGCAGGTAATCTGGAGCTTGGAGTTGAAATTTCGAAGCTCTATGCTGATGGCACTAGTATGTCATTTTCTTTTCACTTCGGAGTACATATATTCGCTTGATATATCTCATATATATGCTGACACGGTGGCAAGGATGTCTAGATATTGTGTGTACATGTAAAAATATGGTTCTTATCATAAATTCTCTCTACGCGATGGAGGCTTTCAAATATTCGTACGGGATATAAAGTTATGGCAACGACATTCTCTCAATACCTTCCTTCCGTGGACATTTTTGAATGTATCGATTTGTTGGAATGCGGGGTTAAACTGAAAACAATCCAATTTCACGTTCCCTCTTGTTATCTTTTGCTATATGCATATTTTGAGAGTCGGTTGTGATTACTGTTCAAGAGTGGTTAATTTGTCAAGTTCATCATTTTGATCGTATTGATCAGCAAGGAGAATAGTTTGAGTGGACTGTACATCTGGCAGTATTTGTTTCCAATCGTTTCTGCACACTGTTGTCAACAAGTTGACTACTAAACTAAATTAAAGATTTCAATACCACCACGAAGCAATTAAGTGCTGAATTTATCTAGATGATGAGTCTTAGACTTTTAATGATGATATTCTGATTATGGCCAGGCCAGTTCACTGTTTCATACGAAATATATAAATTTTGTTTTCTGCAAGTGTTCAGTTGATTATGATAAATGGTCTATTTATTAAACTATTGCTCATGGAAGGGTCGATTTATTCCTTCTACCTATCTATCTATATATTTATCTACCGATTCCACTTCTAGTTTCTGTCTGCGATGTCAAGTGTGTTGTATATTATGTTTAGGGTTCTACGATTGTCATTGAGGATTGAGAGTCGAGTTATATTGGTTCTTGTAGAAAGTGTTGAAATCGAACCAATTATTTTCTGAGGAGAATGAATATCTCAATTATATGGGTGAAATTTGTGCAGAATTCAATTATACGTTGGATAGACAAAACTACGAGTTATAGTACCAATACCTACACTTGTATAGTGACCTGCACAGTAACTGTAGACATATCTCTCTGTTATCAGTTATTCCCAAAGTGATAGAGAAAGCTTTCAACATTAAACTCATCAAACATCTGAAAACCTCAGGAATTATTGAAGATAGAAGATAGACGATACGGCTTTCGTCATCAAAGATAAACTAGATATTCATTTGCCCACGTTACCCATATATATGACAAACTTCATGAGAAGAACATAATATGTAACATGACATAAAATATTATAATATATTGAAAGCATTCGGCCGTTCTTCGCACTAAGGAGTTTTCCATAAAACTACCATCATATGACTCTTACCTTAGCAATGCCTTCATTTATCTAGTTTCATATTTTTATTTTCCACTTGTCCATTACTGCTTCATAAAACCTTGGCTACGGTTGCTATCAACAGTCCTATAACGCCCTAGGGCGTTATTGAGGGCATTATGAATCATAATCATAATTGTTTCTCCTGTAGTTCAAGGAATTGATTATTCAGAGAGTTTTTATTTTCAACTGTACATAGAAAGGGACTAATCATTCTCTCTCGAAGGAAAATTACAATTTTCATATGTTCCTGAAAAATTAGTACTAAATTTGAAGTTCTGTTAGTTGGCCGATGCTGAACTCCTCAATGTGCATTCGGTTTCGTTCAGAACGTTAACATTTTCTCTTTTGGAAACGAAATGGGCTATCATTGTAGCAATTTTGTTGTTCTAGGAGTTTCTTTCTCCAATATAGCTTCCCGCTACCGTACTATTATTTCATTTTCCATGTAATTTCAGGTTTTTAAAGGAAGCACCACCTTGAACAAGAAGCGTTGACGCCGTTCGGTGTAGACAATCTCCGGTGTAACCTTCCGGGTTTTCCAAATCAAGGTATTTCGCTATGATAGAGCGAACACTTCCTATATGGAATTTTCACCTACAGCTGAATCAATGCATTTATCACTTCTGTAGGTTGAAGAAAACTACGTTGTTGACATCCTTTTTGGTCGTAGTGCACTGTACTTTTCACCTGAGTTCAAGGCTCCCATTTCGAATTCTTCAACAATGGTGACATTTTTTGAGGTGCCGGTCTTGGTTTCTGCTATCTCGATCAGTTAAACGTCATTTTATCAGGTCTCAAGCCTCCAAATAAACCAATCACCAGAACTACTTCATGTAGCAGAAAATATTTGGAGCTTCGCTTATATATGAAAAGTAATACTTGTTCACCTTCCAACACCTTTGATTTTTCTGATTCACTTTTCAGAAAGGCCCAGTTAACTGAATGTGCTGATATAATGATGTTTTCCTTAACAATCAATATTGATTTCAACTGTGAGTATTTGGTCCATAAGGAATTTGCACTATAGTTTTCATACTGAAATAATGCGAAATGGAGAACAAAATATCAATATTTTCATGAGATTAACTCACCAGTTCCTGAATTTATGCCATTAAGACAGTTTTGTTCACGGTATTCACTGTGTTCACATCTTTCTATTTGAAAAAAATACATACTCCTTGGATTTCACAGGCAGTAGAATTCCTAACGCTTCTTCAGCTTTGGGCGTCACATTCAGTGGGATCTCCATAATCATTATCAATTCTTACACAAATGCAGCGTCGTTTTATTAAATAAACAACCCTAAGTAACCTCTTCAATGTTTTTATAGCATAGAAGCTCACTTGTGCTCAGTTGCCGACCATCAGCACGCAGTGAATACTATAAGGAAAAGTTTATGAAGTAAACAACGTCGTTTGAGATAATTGTTCCGTGGAAACTAATATCTTGTATGAACCACGAACATGACTAGATCCTAACGCCGATCGGGTAGCATTCATCCCTCGAGTCAAAGGCCCTCGGGTTAATGTACACATGCGCATTATAATTCCAAATCACCATAAATCATATGATTTATGCGATTTGAAAAAGAATGTCAATTCTCAATTTCAGAAGATTCAAATTTTCATGTTCCGTTTCTGAAAGTTCAACAGATATACTTAATTCATCTGAAGGAGAATGCAAATTCTCAATTTCAGAAGATTTCATTTTCACATTCTTATCATGTGTGTTCAATAGATATGATTCAATGATACTAATT